CAGCCACCCAGCAATGAGCCTACAGAGGAGAGAAGCCCTGCAGCCAGGGGCATGCTCAGTGTCACGCTGGGAGGGTCAGAGTCTAAGGACCAATCAATCACCCACAACACTCCAGGAGGACCCAATTTAACACACCCTGCTTGGGAAATATACAGGTGAGGATGCCCAGAGGGACACAACCAGATCAAGGGCAGAGTCCATCAGGCTTCAGGACAGTGGCTGCTGGGCAGCCGGTGGCACATCTGCATGCAGCACCGCACAGGCCTCCCCATCTTCCTAGTCTACCCCAGGTTTCTGTTTGAAAACCTGTAGCCGCCCTCTGGCCCAGCTGCCAATGACATAGGGAGGAGCAGACGGTCTCGGCAGGACACTGCCAGCTGGGCCACAAACAGCAGAAATATGCTAAGAACCAAAATAGCTCCAGCCACAGATCCAAAGTGTCAGGCTTAGCAACAGCAGCCCGCACACTCAGATGACACCTCCCTCCCTGCCTGCCTTCCCAAGCAGGTGGGTGTCCAAAACCCAGGACACTCACCTGAGCAGCAGTACCCCAAAGAGGAGAGGAACCACAAAATGGTTATATAGCTCAGGCAAAAGACCACTGGTGGTGGGCTCAGGGTTCCCCTCTTATGGGAGGGTAGTTCTGAAGCAGCTGGGGACTGACCCACAGGGAAAGGAAAAGGCTCCTGGGTCAAGATTCTGGTCCCAAAACAACAGGCCAGGCCTGAAGAGGCCAGGTCCATTTCCCTGACAGAAAGTTCTAGAAAGTAATTCCAGAAATAATGTAAACATCTCCCCTGATGGCAGGCAGTTCTGATGAGGCATCACTCTCTCCCCATGGCCAGCAGGCTCTGAGGATTCCGCTGGCTAAGCTTAGCATGGCTGCTTCCTGAGAGGGAAGAGCACCAGGGTTCCTAACAGGTCAGGGCCTCCTGCAGCAGGCCCAATGTGAGCATGTACTTGTATCACACACAGGACCAGGCATAGCGGACATCTCAGGCAAGACCAAGTGTGTCTTCTGGTGCTGCACGGGCTGCTATCTCAGTTACAAATATTATTTTTCACAAAAGAGTAACATAGAGGTTCAAGTGTCGCCACAGAGTAACATAGAGGTTCAAGTGTCGCCACAGCTGCAGTAGTATCTATAGGGTTGAAAGCCACAATTTGTGAGCCAGGCCACAACAGGACAGGGTGAAGGGCCACACCCAGGTCTCCTCCAAGACTCTGAATGGCCGTACACCTCCCTATTTCTTGGTGCCTGGAGATGTCCAGGCACAGTAAGATGCCGTCCCCTCAATGGTCATGGGTTTCCACATCTTGTGACAAGGCAGGCACCCCAACAGTCTCCTCATAAGCCACATGAGTGGGCCAAGGCCCACCACAGCACAGAGCACCCAGGCAGCTCACAGGAAGGCTGGCTGAGCTCAAATCAATCTGTTAGTGCATGTTCTTCCACTGCTGTGCAAACTGTTTTTAAGGCCTTCAATCCAACAGGAGACTTTAATCCAATGAAGGAGTAGCGTACCATGCTGTCTTGAGCATGTGCCAGTTGATGCCATGTATTCTAGGATGGACAGGAGTGAGGACCACTGTCACAGCTGCAGCCTCGCCTTGTCACCTGCTTGGAGCAGCCTCCATACTCGCAGCTCTTTAAGGATGAGCTCAGGGGTAACACAGTACCTTGCAGATGAAGGCACCGAGCTCAGAAAGCCTCAGATTGCTAGGAAGTGATGGGCACAACCTAACCACAGCAGGCTCTGTGCTGGCTCCTGCTCACTTCGGCACTGCACTACATGGCTGCAGGACAGAAGACCCAGGAAATACCACTAAGAGCACACCAACCCCCATCTATGCCTCCTAAGGTTCACTCACAAGGATGCCAGACCTAATCCACAACTTCCCACATACCCAGGTAAGGCTCAGCAGAATGACACTCTATGGGGAGCACAAGTGGGAACAAGTGCCTCTAACTAGCCCTACACCTGCACTGCAGAACAGCCAAAAACGGCACAGCAACAAGGTCAAGGTCAAGGCCATCTTGTGCTGAGACCTGCTTCCAGAGCAGCTTCATAGAACTCACACATTTGTTTTAAGTTTGGGGGCAGGGTGGGAACACGAGAGGAATATGTTCTACAAGGTTTCTGCTATACCCCTGACTTCAGAGCTGTCTTTTTAAAAACTCCAAAAGACAGCCCTTTACACCTACTCAGTCCTGCACCTGTGTGAAGAGCTCTCTTTCCAAGCAGCGAGCCCCTGCATCAGCTAAGAGCAGTCCTCAGCTGGGCTAATCTAAATGGAAATGTGACTTTGCTGCCCTCTGCTGGACAGAGCTCAAGCACAGAGACAAGGACCTCACAAAAGGGAGACTCCTACCAGCCACATTCACCAAGGAATGAGAGGATGCTTACAGGTCTCTCACTCTGCTCAGAATGGGGGAAGTCAGGATCTAAATTAAATCCAACAACCTGGACTAGGGCCAGTCCTGTCCACACACTCTGAGTTTCCATGCACCCTGGTTCAGCAGCCACCTCACCCAGCCCAGCAATCATGAAGACCTGTTTCCCCAGTGCCTCCTGCATCCTTTGGCTCCTAGAGCCCCAGTCCTACCCTGTCCTCCTACCAGTTCTGCCCCTTCCTGTCTGCATCACCACACTTGAGTCCAGGTCCTAGTCTGAGAATAACTCACTGTAACTTTCCAGTGAGAAAAACATAGAAGTAGAAACAGAACTCTAGAATGTGCTCCCTTGACCATTTCCTCTGCATAGCACAAAACCAAGTATCAGTTTTGTGCCCAAGGTCAGTGAATGCAGGCACCAGACAGCACACCATCGCCATCATCCAGGCCACATAATCCACAGGTTCATTACACACCTGGCAGCTTCAAGTATAGGTTAAGGACCCAGGAGTGGTGCTCACCTGGATCTATCACTAGCCCCGCAACCCCTGCCTGAAGAGCATAGAGGAGCTGTAAGCCACTCGGCACGTGGGTCCTGCAGCGAAGACCCTTCCAGCACAGGCCCTGGCCCAGAGAGCATAGCTAAGTTTGGGGAGGGGGGGAGGAGGACAACTGAGGGGATGGGAGGACACTCTGCTCCAGTCTCAGGTCTGCACCCACACCCCACCTTGACAAGGTAGGAGGTGCAGCCAGACATTTCAGGAGCCCCCCCCAATTGTGGCTTCATAGCCCAGCACGTCCTCACAGGAAGCACAGAGCCCCTTCCTGTAACAAGGAGACAAGTCCAAGGGCAGGAGGGGAGCTAGGGGGGCAGAAGGGGCTCCCCAGCCAGCTGGCTCTCAAGGCTCCAGTAGAAACACTAAAGACACCACCAGCAAAGCAGCAGCAGGGACTCAGACCCCAGGGTGTATGTGGGGTGTATTTAGGGCAGCCCCTGTATGCACATGGGGGCCATGACAAACATCTGTTCACCAAGTGATGCACCAGAAGTCGGCGGGGCTCTGCTCCTTGGGGCCACGTCAGCTCCTGAGCCAGAGACACAGAGCTATTTCTGACAGACTGCTAAGAGAAAGGATGAGGCACAAGCTAATGCACACAGGCACCACATACAGCTGCTGAAACCAAGCAGGTTAGACCAGTGACTAAGGCACAAGCTGCATGATCTGCCCCAACCCAGCATGATCCTGGGGGAATCACAAGGCACCCCCCCCCACCCACTGGGCCCAGGGTGCAAGGCACCCCCCCCCACCCACTGGGCCCAGGGTGCTGACCAGCCCGCAGCAGTGACCAACACCAAAACCAGAAGTGCTAGAAACGAGGAAGCAGCATGGTGAAGAAAGGCTGAGTCGCAGGCCTGATGCCCACAGGGCACCCCGAGGCCACACTGCAGGGTCTGTGAAAATTCATGAGGCCATGACTGGTCCCTTACTTAAGGTTTGTGTGCACAAATAAGAGCATCCAGATTTTTAAAACGCCACACCGCAGTGATGCAGACCATGAGGCCATGCAGGCCCCTTGGAAAACACTTGATACAAAATCATACCTGTGACACAATTACACCTTCCAAGAGTTGTTTACAAGTTGTATACAGAAACCTGAAAATATAACAGGAATATCCTAAGAGGTGCTTAATTACCCAAAAATAGTTAAGAAAACTATGTACATTGATTCCATGGAGTACTATGAGAACACAAAATGACTTCTAAAACAGTAAGACAAAGAAGACAGCTACTTAAATTCTGAAGATTACAATGCACAGCAGGATTAGGCATGTCAGAAGTTTTGCATGTAAAATGCAGGAGGATTACACACAGGGCAAACAACCCTGTCCTGGAGGGTCTGGGGGAGAGACTAAGGGCCTGGTCACAAATGCTATGGATTTTACATGCTTAGCTATGAGTGAGAAAAACCACCATTAGAAGTATCTACGAATGGCTTCTACCCAGAAAGAGGTGGGAGGTGGGCCCCAGGCCCAGGCCCCTCACCTCCAGGTGCATACCCTGTCGGCAGGGCAGTTTTCCACCTCCAGACCATAGCTGAAACCAAGCTCAGGGTCAGAATGTTGGCTGGGTCAAAGAAACAATAAAAGACACCATGACAATGCAATTAGCAAAATCAAAAAGAGGGGGCGCACAACAGGAAAAACCTGCTCCCTACATCTAAAGAGCAAGAAGGGGAAAAGGTGGGGAAGAACTGGAGGCCTGTGGCCCTGCTTCTTGAGAAATCAGGTGAGCATCGTGTGCTTACTGACACTAGGGAATTACTGCTCACTTACTACCCGTGGTAACACCCTGTAGCTAAGCTTGCCTTACCCCAGGAAAGAGTTTATGAATGAAATACCACATATGTACCTGCTGGTGGGGGGTGGCGGGCACAGAGTTTCTCAACAGACTTTCTACTTCAGTGTATCTTTTAAATTTTCCCATAAAAATGAAGTATTTTTAAAGGTTCAGACTAGCCTGAACTTGGTCCGCCCTATGCAGATGAACAGCCTGTGCTGAGGTATAGCTAGCTATCCCTTGTCTCTCCTAGGGTGGCGACTCACCTCTCCTGAGAGAAGACACACTCCTCTGGTCCAGCTCCAGCCTCTGCACCAAGGCACTGGGGTCTATCTGGGTCTTGGCAAAGATGTCGGTATGAACAAATGCCCAGTCCTACAGTCCCCAACAAAGAAAAGAAAGAAGACAACGTCAAGTTGGCTTCGTGGTTTCCAAGGAAAATGCCGGGCCAAACACACACAGCCATGGCCCTTCAGATTCTCTGCCAGGGAGAAAGTCCCCAGAGCAGCCTATCGGCCTTTGCCTTTCTGCCTCAGAGGGCAGGCAAGCTCTGTTCCTCTCCTCACTGGGACACGGTCAGCACCAACTCCCAGGCGACTTGTAAGCCGTTTGCTTCCTTTTAGCCTTTTCATCTCTGCTTCCTGCCACGCTCCCACATTTTTACCTCAGCAGCCTTGTCAGCAGCTTCATCCATCCCCAGGTCTACTTCCACCCCACATTCATTCTACCTCAAGATTTCACACCCTCTAAGTCACTCTGCAGCCACACCTACTAGGCTCACTCAAGGCCCAAGCTCTATGACATCTGCAGGAACCACAGCATCGGTCCCCAGGAAGGGCTTGTTAGACCAGTCAAAAGTATGCCACTCTGGAAGGCTTATTTTGGGTTAAGGCACTTAAAATAGCAGCAGATACAGGAGGAACCCCAATGGAAGCAAACTTCCCTATACCTCATCATTAAAGGACTGAAGTCCAAGCTGAGAGAATCCTCTACTGACACAGATCTTGCTGAAGGGACTCCCTTGCCTTCCTTTAGTCTCCCCACATGATCTAGCGATTTTCTACAATTGCCTCCCTTTGTTCAGCCTAGTACACAAGCATTTGGGAGGGCTGGGGATGTAGCTCAGTGGCAGAGCATGTGCTTAGCATTCAAGAGGCTTTGGTTCAATCCCCAGCAGACACACACAAAAGAACATTTAGGTTTTGCCACCCTTTGGGTCTTTACTTCCTTATGAGGCTTCTATGTCATGTGGAACTCTTATTAAATAAACATGTTCACTTTACTCGCACTGGTTTAAGTCCCAGGCCCAAACCCTTGATGGCGGAGGTAAAATTGTGTCTTTCCCACATTTGATGGAGAGGCAGAATCCAGCCAGAGCACCAGGAGGATCAGGCAGGACTGCGGCCCCTTGAGTCCCTCACCCAGAGCCTGAGAGGATGGGTCAGAGTTCACAGGGTGGCAGCCTGGAGCCCAGCAGAGTGAGGGCAGATGGGGAGCACTGAGCAGGCACAGGGAAGCAGGAGGCCAGGAGACATGGGGAGCACACATCTTGTGGATCAGGTGCAGGTCTGCTGGGAGCATTCAAGCGCTCTTTACACTGTAACTTTTCCCACGATGACACTTCATACTGCATTACTGTGGGTGGTGGAGCTTGATGTAAAAGTATGGCTATTATACTGCATGCATGTGTCTTACAGATTGCAACGCCATTATCCGATCAGAAAAAAGAACCCCGCTTCACCATCTACCCCACAATAAAGGGCCTCAGTTAGGCATATGTTCAAATCCCATTTGTTACTTTGTCCTCCAAATCTAGCTCTCTTTCTGGTTTTTGTTTTGTTTGCTTTGTTTTGAGACAAGGTCTCACTTCGTTGCCCAGGCTGATCATGACTCCAGGCTTAGAGATACTCCTGCCTCAGCCCCGTGTGCTGAGACTACAGCGCACAGCACCGTGCCTGACTGCACCTGGTGGCCATGTTAAAAGTGACATGCGTGCCCCTGCATGGTGTGTGCAGCTGGTTGTGGGGACCAGAGTTGACACGCACATGCTCTTTGGACTTCTAATCCCCACAGCTCCCAGCTAAACAAAGCACTTCTTATTTTGGCAGCATAACTGGGGTTTGAACTCAGGGTCTTGCACTAGCAAGGCAGATGCTTTACTACTTGAACCATGCCACCTGATCCTTTTCGCCATTAGTTATTTTTTAATAAGGTCTCACATTTATGCCTGGGCCGGCCTGGACCATAGTCCCCCTTTTTATGCTTCTCATGTAGCTGGGATGACAGGTGCACACAGCACTGGGGTTTGAACTCAGGGCCTCACGCTTGCTAGACAGGTGCTCTACCTCTTAACCACTATGCCAGCTCTTTTTTGTGTTGAGTATTTGAGGTAGGGTCTCATGAACTATTTGCCTGGGGTTGGCTTCAAACCATGATCCTCCTGATCTCTGCCTCCCAAGTAGCTAGAATTACAGGCACAAGCCACTGAAGCTCAGCACCAAGCCCAGCTTTTTATTGATTGAGATGGAGTCTCACTAAATTTTTACCCAGGCTGGCTTCAAACCACAATCCTACATACCTCTGCCTCCCGAGTAAACCTCTCGTCTGCCTCAGGTATTCTGACACAGTAATAAAAAGCTAATATATCAAAAAACTAAGAAAGACCATTTGTAAATAATTAAAGAAAGTATAACAACGTCACATCACACAGACAGTAACAGTAAAGGGAAAGTACTTTGAGGAGGAAGGAAAGTAATTTATTTCTAGAGCCAGAAAGTATCGGAAATGTAATTTTTCACTAGAGCAATTCAAAAGTAGATTTGACCAGCAAAAGAAATAGGTGAACTTGAAGAAAGTTGAGATTATGCCACCCAAAGAAAATACAAAGAACAAAGCCCAATGGCAATGTGTGACACCACTGCAGTGTATGTAGTTACAATGGAAGCAAAGGAAAAGAGACGCAGCAGGGAAAGATATACCATGGCATAATGGCTGAAAAATGGACAAATTAGATGAAAAAACACTATCCTTAATGAACTCCAGGGCTGGTAAACTCCAAACAGAATGAATGCAGAGATCTATGCCAAGACCCATTAAATCAAAATGATTAATGCAAAGCCAAGGAGAAATCTTGAAAACAGCAAAAGGAAAATGACTCATCACAACAAGAGAACCCTGGCACACTGACCACTCACTTCCCATCAGAAACAGCAGACAGGGGCTGCCAGAGTGGCTCAAGCATAGAATGCCTGCCTACCACACATAAAGTCCAGAGTTCAAACCCCAGTGCCAACAAAGAAGAAATAAATAAAGCAATGGTTCTCAAACTTAATAAAAACAGAAGCCAGTAGGCAGTGGGATACCATACTTGATGTGCCAAAATAAAAATAGTCAAAACCCAGAATCTCATGTCCTCAAAAACTACCTGAAGATACTCCCAGTATCTTCAGGAAGCTGAGAACCTGCTGCTGGCAGACCTGCCTTATAAGAAGTGTTAAGGAAGTTTCTGAGGCTGAAAGCAAATGGTACCAGACAGCAGTTAAATCCACAAAAACAAAATAAGGAGCACTGGAAAGAGTAAACATGTAGGTAAATATAAGGAATAGTTTTAAGGTCAGGTTGGTAACATATATAAACACACCTTAGGTAAGAGTGGAGGGGAACAGAACTATTTATGAGCAAAGGTTCTATACTTCATTGGAAATAAACAAGTATAAGCCATAAGTAATTTTAATGTACAGAAGCCCTGGATCAATCACAAAACTTCACAGAAAACACCACACTTAATGGCAAAAGACAAAATGCTTTTCCCAAAGGTCAGGTGCCAGATAAGGACATCCACACTGGAAATTTGTACTGGACACTGCAATAGGGGTTTTAGTCAGAGCAAGTAAGCAAGTTCAAGAAATAAAAGGCAGCAGTACAAGAAGCAAAACTATCTCGTCACAGACGGTAATATCTTCTATACAAAAAGTCCTAAGTAGTCAACAAAAAACTGGATTCCTAAGAAATCCCACAAAGAACTTCCTCAGTAAGTTCAGCAGTTTCAAGGCACATGATCAATATGAAAAATTCAGTAGTATTTCTATTCTGCAGTGACAAATAATCCAAAAATAAAATTCCATTTGCAACAGCATCAAAATTTGTAAGATATTTAGGAATAAATTTAATAAAAGTACAAGAGTTTTATGCTAAAAACTACAAATCACATTTGAAGAAGTCAGAAAGACAAATGGCAAGCTGGAAGCGTAGCTCAAGTGGTAGCACACCTGGCTGGCAGGCCCTGAGTTCAAACCCCAGTACGGCAAGATACCTTGTTGTCACTGACTGCAAGACTTAATCCTTAAGATGCCAATACTTCCTGTACCAATCTAAATATTAGATAAAACTCTATCCCAATTGCCTTTTCTGCAGAAATGAACAAGTTCATCCTAAAATTCATATGGAAATGCAAGAGACCCAGAATAGCCACACAACCTTGAAAAAGAAAATCCACAGTATGACACTGGCATAAAGACAGCCATAAAGACCAATGGAACAGAACTGAGAGATGAGAAATACACTCATGTGTACTTGGTCCCAAGATTACTCAATAGGGAAAGAGTGCTAGCACAACTGGAAACCCACATACAAAAGAATGCCAGCCTCGCACCATACTTAAAAATGAAATCAACTGCACTGGGTGTGGTGGTACAAGCCCATAATCCCAGCTACTGATCATATAAATCTCCACGCCCTAGATGAGGCAATAATGTCTTAGATGTGACACTAAAGCACAAACAAAAATAGAAAAGACTTTTGTACTTCAACAAAATTAGAAACGTGTATGCTTCCAAGCACAGCATCAACACAGAGCTTTAAAAGAAAAAATAGAACTGTAAAAACTTGACACTGTAAACTATGTATGTCTGACAAGCATTTAGTGCGTAGAATATATAAAGAACTCTTACAATTCAGCTACAAAAAGATTTAAAAATTCAATTTAAAAACAGATGCCAGTCTTGAAGAGATATTTCTACAAAGATACACAAATAGCCAGTAAGCTCATGAAAAATCATTCGTACTTGGAAAAATGCAAGTCAGAATGACAAGGAGATATGCCTCTTATCTACCAGGATGGCTGTAACAGACAGTCAATTACTAGGACTGGGGACAGTGTGAGAAACTGGGACCTTCATGCACTGCAGGTACAGGTGTAAAATGGTGGGAGCTGGTCTAGCAGTTTCTTTAAAAAGCTAGAGTTGCCATATGACCCAGCAATTCCACTCCACAGAAAAATGTGTGAATGCTCACAGCAGTATTATTCATGACAGCCAAAGAGTGGGGACCAAAATGCCATCAACTCATGGAAAAACAAACTGTGCTGTGGTAATGGAACGCATACACACTGTAGTATTACTCAGTCTCAAAAAGAATATATTTATGATGCAGAAAAAATGCTCAAAGCATGAACCTGGAGAACATGCTAAGTGAGGGAAGCTGGACAGAGGTCACTTACTGATATCGTCCAGGTATCTGACATGCGCAGAAGAGGCAAACCTACAGAGACAGAAAGTAGATTAACAGTTGCTAGAATGACAGATTACGGTTTCTTTGGGGAGATGATTAAAAAAAAAAAAAATCAAAAAAAACCTCTCAGTTCAGAGTAATCAGTGTAGGACTCCCTGAATATACTAAAACAACACTGAAAGGTACACTATAAACGCAAGATTTTTTGACACGTGAATTACATCTCAATCAACCCTTTGTTGTTAGTGTTTTAAAGCCAGGGTTCTGGAGCCAGAGTTGGGCAAACATCAGCAACTCCACTGAGCGTCCCTGGTGATGTTTTTACTCTTAGATCTCCCACTGCAGAGCGAAAGTGAAGGCCCTTGTCCAGGTGTGTACAACGGACAGCACACGGCACACGCTTCATAAACATGGCTTCTTTTCACACTGCAGAAACCCTTGGCCCCGTGAACTGACAATGCCCACTGCTGCTGCGTGCGAGCCCCTGGCTCTCGGACCTCAGTAAATGCTTCCAGGGCGACTCGAGGACGAGCACCCGCCACACGGAATGCGGCCTGAATGCGGCCAGGCCGCACCCTGGAAATCCTGTGCTGAGCGTGGGGACCCAGCACCAAGGCCCGATCTGATTCCTCACAGGAGACGCTCGGAGCAGAGACGAAAGGAAGAGGGCCAGTGGGAAGGGGTTCACAGGAAGGTGAGTTTCTGGGTTCGGCTTCCTCAACCCCGCACTTCCTTCCCTTCCCGAGAGCCCGGCGGGATCTTAGGAGCCGCTGGCACAGCCGTGGGGCGTTCCCAGACCGGGACGGGAGGCCCCCCAACATCGGTGGCAGCGGTGCCTCTGCCAGGGCCAGAGCTCGGGAGTCAGCCTCGGGGTCCCAGGAAACTCCGCACGTGTCGGGAAGGCGCCTCGGGAGCGGCCGGGATCCAAGACGCCCCCGGGAGCGACCCCCGCCCACCCCGACTTACCCTTCCCCCCACGGCGCCCGAGGCCTGCGCAAGGGCCGGCTCCTTGGCGGGGGGCACCGGGCCCGGCGCCGCCTCGCCCCGGGGCCGCACCGCGGCCCGATGCACCCGGGCCCGCAGCCCCCTCACTTTCCCCATCCTCCCGGCACAGAGCCTCGCGGGCCGAAGCGCCGCCGCACTCGAGGACGAGCCTCCCGGAAGTTGGCCCACTGCGCTCGCGCCCGGCGGAAACAGGAGTCGGCCCGCCGGGTTCCGCGCGCTGCCGCCGCCCGGAAGTGCCTCGTGGCGCGCGTGCGCAGTGCGCAGTCGGAGCACGGTGGACCGGGGCGAGGGTGTTGGAAGTACACGAAGGTGTATTTGCTACACGATCCTTGGCCTTCCGGAAAGGCCTGGGGCAACAAAGAGAGAAAAGGTCTCGGGGTGCAAATTATGGGAAATGGCGTGTTTCTGTCGGAAAGGATTGAAACTGAGGAAGGTAACTGACGTCCCAGCTGCCGCCCCAGCTAAGCTGGTCCATGTTTCTTCCCGTCGATTTCTTTTTGTGCACTACTGCATTTCGTCCTCTGGACAGTTCCTTGAATTGGACGTTACTCGTCCACTTAAAAGGGAACGAGTTGGCGAATGATGTTCCGCGGCCGCGCATCTCCTGTCTTGCGCAGTCTGTAAACTGCTCATGCGACCCTGTGCGTCCAGCGCAGGAGTGCATGGAAAACAGGCCAAGAGTCAGTGTTAGAAATAAAGTTGATAGTGGTCCGTTTTCAAGGCGTTTAACCCTAGCCCTTTACTTGGTTATCTGCTTGTGGATGTTGGGGGAGAGGCAACCGATAAGGGAACTTAAACTGGTGGGATAAATCACAATAGAGGGAGGGAACGGCTTATGCACCAGAAAGCACATAGCACATGGAGACTTTTTGGCCACAGAGGCGGATAACCACCTATAGCCCGCCTCTAAAATCTGACCAGTCCCAAGAGGCATGTTTTAAATAACCCAATAGGAATTAAGCCAGGTCTGTGAAAAGAATGTAAACCCCATAGTCCCGGGGAGGGACTTGCGCACTAGATAATATCCTTATTATAACAGCTTCTGGGGGTCTCTGCTCACCAGGCACCCAGCCTTGCAAGGTTGCCATTAAAGTCTCACTTTCACTGTACTGCACGTGTCAGAGTCCATTCTTTTGAGTATGGACAGGTGTGTGTATTTCTCACAGTCAGCTGTGGACACAGGGTAGTCTCACACATCTAGGATAAAACAAACCATGGTTGAGGCCACAAAGGAAGGCAGGTCTCTGTCCAGGACTGAGCCTTGCCTAAGATCCACAGTGAGATAGGGCTTTGCAGAGGGAAAGTGGGTCCTGGACAGATCTGGACGCCCCCCTCTCAGGAAGGACACCGGTGATACCCAGTTGGGAAACAGGACAGATGACCACATAGGTGTTCCACAGCCCTTCAATGTCAGTGGAAGCAAAGCATCCAAAAGGAGGTATTCCTCCCCTGCTCAGCCCTAGTTCCCCTCCCCAGTCATACTGAATTCCCGGTTTCCTACTGACTTTCTAGGAACATCACTGGTCCTCTTTGTCCCACTAGTCAGATCTCTGCACTGCTCTGCACCCAGCGTCTTCCATGAAATGGAGAACTTGGTGTTCACCCACTCCCTCTGGCTCTATTTATGCCTGTATCACTTGTCCCCAGTCTCCTGCTGTGACACAGTGTGAGTGACCCTTATACATACAAGCAGAATCCTTCTAAAGACCGGTTTCAGGAAAGAGACCGTTAAATGTACGGCAGCTGATGTGTTGAGACCTGTGTCAAGTATAGGCCTGCTGTCTCTTGCTTCAGTAGCAGTGTGAGAATCAACTAAAGTCAGGTCTTTCCTGTCAAAGGAGTTTCTGTGTAATATAACTATCTTTGTGTAGGTACCAGCTAACCTTGCAAAGTTCTTGCAATCAAAGAGCTGGTTATCGCCAGATGTCCTAATCTCAAACTGCTTGCTTAAAGATGAATATTACCCAAAAGAATGTTCTTGCTCTCCCTGTTTCAAGGTCCCCCTTACTTCATGTGCCCCCTTTTCTAAGTAGACAGTCGCAAAGATTGTGAAACCAAACCCACCCATCAAGGTGAGGGGCAGACTTGCATTAGAGATAAAAACTGAGCAGACTTCCTGTTCAGTGTGCTCGCCTGCCTGATTCTGGTTGGAGGCACACACACCCTTCTGCAGAAGTAAACTTTGCCTTCCCCACCAGCTTTTGAGCCCATGTCTGATTTGTGATGGCAGCAGTGCCCTGGTACTTCTTATAGCAGACATAGCTGAAGGCTCCTCTCCAGGCCCAGAGCACTGGCAACAGCTGTCAGCTGCATGTCATAACCCGAATGCATGAGGGCTTGAGTAGCCCCTCAAAGAACAGCCACCACACAAGTGTGGTAGAGGACATGCCTGGGATGGCTGGACTTAGCACAGATGCTAAGGGGCTACTGCATCCTGCCCATTGGGACCAACATGACACATGGGCAAGAACCAAGAGACAACAGTGATTGCAAATGCCAGCCTCAGCCCCAGAGGAAGGCCCTACCTGGACACCCAGGCATCACCCTCCAAATGTCACTGTGCTTCAGAGCAGTGCTGGGGACCTCAGTGTTCAGTGGGGCTCCAAGTCTCTTCTGCCCCAAGGGATTGGAGCTAGCGTGAAATAAATTTCACTCTCCAACCTGGCGTTCTGCTGCTTTTTTCAGCTCAGTGGTGAATACCTCAAAGTGAGGGAGAGAGGTCAGACAGACCTGGTGGTACCACTCTGACCCAGCCATGGTTAGGGGCGGAAGGGAATCAGGAATGCCTGTGTTGCTATCTGACCCCAGGAAGGAGGCCACATATTCATTTTCTGGGAACCCACAGATGCCCCAAGGTCAGGGATGCAGAGTGAGTGTGTGGCCCCTTGTAGAGCCAGTGTTGGGCCTGGAACCCAGAGCCTGCCTGAGTTCCAAAGGGGTGCTCCCACCCAAACCCAGCTCCTTTCTCCTGGGCAGTGGGAGCTGGCCATGAATTAGCAAGAATCCTCACTGGGAAATTCTTAGCAAGCTGCCCCTGACCACGGGTCTCTTGTTTCAGGATCATCACCTTGAGAGAAGCCCTGCGCAAGCTGTACTTTGCTTTGTCCCTCCAAGGGTCCACCTCCTGCCCCTAGCCCTTCTCCCTCACCCCCACTGCCTCACCACAAGGGCTCTGTGGAGCAGGTCTGTGGCAGCTTTAGAAGAGGGAGGGGTCTGGGGTCCTCCAAACATCTGGAGCACTGGAGGTGTGGGCCAGCTTTGGTTGCTGCCTCACACCCACAGGAGGTCCAAGGCAGGACTGGGGCCAAGGTTGCTGCCTGCTGAAGGAGAAGGGGAAGTGACCCAGATGCCCAAGGAGAGGTGAGCTGCGCTTCTAGAAGGGGCACTCCTGGCCTTCCCAGGCCCTCCCAAGGGCCCAGCTACAAACCTGCTTTGGGGTGTCTTGGGAATAAATTCTTTGTTTCTGCAACTAGAAAACCAATGAATTTGCATCATTCCTTCCCAGACCCCGTGATCACAGTACCCTTTATCTCCCCAGAGGGGGTCTCCCCATCATGCGCCCTGGCCTTGGCCTTCCCGGAGGCCCCGCCCTCTGGCTCTCCCTTCCCAGCCTTCGGCAGTGGCCTCTGGCCGGTCCATTCGGCATCGCGCGCCCCTGCAGCCCGTGCGCGGCGCCTGGCCAGTACTCCTGGCCTTGACTGGCCCCTGCAGGTCAGCCCCGGCTGGTTCTTCCTTCTTGTGTCGCCCGAGGGCGCCCGCGTCCCGCTTGCCGCCCGCGTCCGCAGAATTTCTGGGGTTCTCCGTGGCGGAGGCGAAGCGTGGGACTGGACGGCGAAAAGACAGGCCACCCCGCGCCCCAAGGCCCACCTGCGGGTCCGCGCGGCGAGGGGCCCTGGCTCCCACGCACCCTGGGCGGCCTGAGACCCCGGCCACGGCCCCTGGGTCGCTCCGCCCGTGGGGACCCCGGCGATCGCTGCGGCCCGCGCCCAGGTCCTCAGCCACCAAGCTAGCGCGGGCGGCGTGGACACCGCCTGAGGCCTCCCCAGCCGCGCCTGGCCCCAGCCACGTGGCCAGCGCCAGGCGTCCCCTCCCAGGCGGTCATGTGGGCACCCACCAGTCTCCCTGGGCAGCGCAGCCCAGTGTACCGGGATCAGCCCCCACCCGAGGCGGGTCTCCGCTCCCGCTGCCCCCACACCCCCACCAGGAATGTCTCCCTCGTTCCCCCTGGGAGGCGGCCAGGCTTGGAGGGATCCTGGCTCTGCTGTTGCGGGAATCCCAGGCTGAGATCTGGGACGCCGAGGCAGTTTAGCAGGAAGCAAGGCTTTATTGTGCCAGCACAGAACCAGTGGACTGTGTCCTGAGAGCAGAGGCCTCACCTTACACACCCTTGCAAGCAGGTAACAGAAGCAAAAAGCAAAGCTCAGCCCACTTGTGGTTGCATGTGACTTCATGGGCTATTTCATTCCCCCAGTGCTATGTGGACTTCTTCATGTTTCAATTCAAGTTTTATCTCTCTGCTTTGCCATCCCTTTCCCTGACTCCTCAGAACACAGCCTGTCCATTGCTCTTCTGGCCCTCCTCCCTGCTACATCATACCCCTCTTAGATGCTCAGACCCACCTAGGGTCAAAGAGCATCATCTTGATTTAGGGGTTTGTATTTTCATTGCATCATTACATGGGCGGCTCTTTTTCTTTTTACAGTGGCCTCCATAATGGTCCTGATAGACCCCAGTACCAGGGGGACCAGGCAGGGTAATATCAAGCATGTTCCCGCTTTTATGACAAATGTAGTCTGTACTGTTTTTCTTTTTCACTTTTAGTATCATTTATCAGTAACCTTGCTAACCTAGGAGTAGATGACCCCATGTAACATCTGACCTATTGGTGGGTGCATGATACAAGGTATGACTTTGCAGCAGTCCCAACAATGGCTCTCTTGTAACATTTAGTACATGGGAAAAACCTTGTAAGGACCAACCCAAACGGTAAGAGACCAAGAGGTAAAAGACCAAGAGGAGAGCAGGGGTGCATCCCATGTTTGAGCTTCCTCTGTGTATAGACTAGTCACCTTTCAGAGTAACTAGAGCAGGCCTGTTGTTTGTGGTTCCCTGGTTGTCTCCTGGGAAGTGGAGTCCTGCCAAAGAAGA